CACGCACACGCACACGCACACACACACACAAACACACACATACACGCACAACCCATGTGATAAAAAACGATTATTAGCGCTCCGACTATGACCTGAATTTATTATATATAGATCTAGTACAACAGCGACTTGTATGTCGAGAGTCAAAATTTCCAGAACTTCGGCCTTCAAAGAATGCAGTGTAAGGGACAAGATAACAGCACAAGGTGGGGAGAGCAGGCTGTGACGAACAGGCGAAGGTCATGCATTATCACACCTATATAAACTGCTCCATTTCGACCTTTAGCCTTTTGTGAGCTTTGGGACTGTGCTTGGGTATGTAGTTAGTCGGCTGTATTTGTTTTATAGTAATCCCTCACGGTTATTGAAGTCCGGTATAATCTGTGGTGTTGTCGTTAAGCGTTTCGCTGTCGCAGCCAGGAGACCTGAGTTCGATTGCCGAGTTAGGACAATTTTTTATCGAACATATATTTTTAATTTTATCTCGGATTTCCTGCTGAGATATTGCATGCCTCTCAGCACGGGTCGGGGGAGTTGAAGTCCACCTCTTAAATTATCTAAATCGTGTCCATAGGTGCGTAAAAATATTGCATGTACCTGGTACCCTGTTGGTATTGAAGAGCCTCTGACAGACAAATCTGAGTATTTTCTTTATCTTTATCGTTAGTTTCAACGTGTTTCGAGTGTCGGGTAAGGCCTCATAACGTCTGCATTGTACTTTTTAGAATTACATTGTAGATCCGTATGAATTTACTTCCAGCTCTACTTTATTCTACACGCCGAAAATAATTTGTGTAGAACGTTAGTCAGTACGTTGGGGGTTTGTTATATTGTATGCTCCTCTGTCTTTTGTGTTCTCGGCCTGTCTTGTTTTGGGTTGTTGTTGTTTGTTTGTTTGTTTGTTTGTTTGTTTTTTATATAATTGATTTATCAAGTTCATCTTAGCCCTTTATCTGTGAAGACACCTTCCTGATTTTGATTTTTGTTGCTTATTTTTGTCTTGAGGAAGAAAAAAGGTGTGTGGAGGGCTCTCTTACTTACAGACCTTGCCAAATTTATTTTGAAGGAACGAAGCCTACTTTTGTTTGTTTTTTATCAAATTTCTTTTTCTTGTTTTAACAAACGAGATGGCCGTAATGACTTGAGAGGATGAATGAGATTCAGACCTGAAAAAAAAGGCATTGTACTCAAGGAGTTCTGAACTACTTTTTCTGAAATGTTAGTTGTTGTTGTTTTTGTTGTGGGGGGTGGGGGGTTGGGGGGGGGTCTTAGTCTTTTTTTATGTACACACATTCTAGTTCATAAAAAGTATTGTCAGAACAGGTCTGCATATGGGTACTCTACCCTCTGGTGACTGGTGTGCTTTGGGGCTTCACCTGCTGTCACAGATATGAAATAAAAATGTAGCACTGCAGTTTTCTCAGAGATGTACCCACGCTTTTCAAAACTTGAGATTTTTGTCATGCCTGTGCTGTCTGCCATTTGTTTGTCCGACCGTGCTCTTCCTCTGACCTGCAGAGTCAAATTGAGTAGTAAAGTACCGCTGGAAACATGTTGTGGTTTACTTGTTGTCTTGGTAAAAGCACGTGATTTGGAGAAGAGCATACAGCACTTCTTGATTTTCGTTAAATTTATCTTCGATGGAGTTCTGATGTGCGTTCATCGAGACATGATAATGATATAATGTTATTACTGGCTGTTTCAGTTGTCACCGGACGGCACTGCTGTCAGTTTGTTTACTCAAGGCATAGGGCTGCCTTGTTCTCAAAACAACACACCAAGGTTGTTGAAAACTCTTCTTTTTTTCACTTGATCCGTTCATATATATATATACACATGTATATA